TTCAAGTTAGGCGCCGATCTGGCGCGTGGTTGGTTGCGCAGGGCACCTAATTAAGGTTGTCGGAAGTTAGCTTAATCTGAACAGTATTCTCCCACGGTTGCCTTGACCGTGAATTTGACCACAAATTTGTCTGGTGTTGGACTACACGTCGCCCAGCCGCCGGACGATTGGTGGCGACCGATTTTGCAGTAACCCGGATAGAGACCTAAAATGACCGACATGGCGAACCCAATGCAACTGCGACCCCACTGACCAAAAGGGGTGCAAGAGTTTTTCTACCATGCTAGACCGAGGTGCAAGACATGCTTATGGAGCGGATTTCAGCCTGACATGCTTTTAAGACAGCAAAAGATCCCAAAGACTCGTCTGAGTGCTCAGTTGCGCCGTCCACAGCGAAGATGTGACGGAATTGATGTCGAGGATGCCCAACTCAACTTTGTTCGCCGCCGCAACCGAGGATACACAGTGCTGGGAAATTGTCATGGGTTATGTGGCTGAGGACACCAGAGACGTGACGGGTAAGGTGATTGCTTGTATGCAGACGGCGCTGAACCTTCACAGTGCCTTCATCCGTGTGTGGCACCTTTGATGGGTTGCCCGCCGAACTGCGTTACCGCATTTACGGCGAGTTGACTGTCAAGGATTGCGTCAACTTCGCCGCCACATCGAGGCAACACCGATTTGTCGCTACGACCTACCTCCACTTCCAGTTGACGGTCCTTGCGTCAGATTACCACCTGGACTTTGCTCGTCTTCGTTTTGTTTTACTTGCGAGCGGCTCTTTGATGAGCGGATACCCCATACAGAGCGTTATATTAGGCCCAACCCTCTCCACGGACACCTTGGACTTTTACACGACCAAGGAATGGACGGAGGATCTTTTGGAGTATCTCCAGCTGGATGGTGGGTACACTGCAAACACTACACCGATCCTGGGCCCCATCTATTGCGTATGGTTCTTGCGCAGAGGTGGACGGCTCATGCATGTATTCGAGTGTCACCAAAGCACGCTTGCTGGGATAATAGTGCAACAGAGTACACATTGGATGGCTTTCTTCGACGGGGATTGTTATAGGCACGCCTACGCGAATCTCATGGAAGGCACGACGACATTCACTACACCGAAGGCGCTACTGATAGAGCCTGACCGCGCAAGTCATCGCCTGGCCTGGAGGTTTATTCACAGATCCAAACTCCGTGGCCTGAGCTGGAAGTTGGACTATGACACACCTCATCGCTGCAGAACGGTGGCCAGTTGCCCAGCGACCCTCAGGCACTCGAGAGACAGCGGTTGGTTGAAGCTGCCGTTGTCGCCGGCTCACTATGGATCAATAGTGGAGCAGCTGCCGACTGTGTGTTCGTTTGGCGGTATAGGTTGTGCTAAGGGTCTACTCCAGGGGGCCAATTCAAGGCCGTCATCATGCCCGAAGGTAACATCATGAACATTTTCCTTGTAAAAAGCTGAATTAAAACACAGAGGCGGAATGGTACACAATGATGCAGCACCTGATTCACTGCAACTCGAAACTTACTTCATACCAGTTTTATCTGTAATATCTCCAAAGTCTTTACCTATTCTCATTTACTTGAAGCCGATCTTGTCTTAATGTATCTACAATGTTTATGTATCGTCCTTGCCCGTAACTTGCCAGCATTGTTTGGAATGGAACATTGGTAGATCTTTGTGTACTACTTGCGAGTATGAAGACTTTATGTGTCGGCCCGGCCTGTGCCTTGCCAGTGTTGCCAGAGCTGCTGAGGTACCGTCGGCTGAATTTCTGCTGGGGTCCGTCCATGAGATGTCAGCAGAATTCACCGACATCAATGATTAGGCTTGAAAGGATTAGTACAGCCGGAAGTTGCTTGTTGATACTTGCGTGACGTATACCCCGGCGGGGTAGATGTCAATTGTGCATGCTCGCTCAAGCCTTTTCACTGTCCTGTCTGACTCTGCGTCCATGACCGGCGCAAACACCGTACTAATGATAAGTGCCGCTGTATGATTTTGCGTCCAGCGATCGTTATTTTGCGTAGGAACTTGCCCTGTATCCTGTTCAACGATTGCTTGGCTCCTCACCGTGCAAGACAAACCGGCCGTTTCACCGCGTCGCCGGCCAGGAAACATCGGCGACGCTGAGCTACCAAACACGATCGCGGTTTTCTTAATTTCACCGTTGTCGATAATGGCATAGCTACGACGCTCATCACATATTTAATGCTCAGACTCAAGCGTCGAGAGTATAGACCTCTCCATGCCTTCCTTGCACCAATATGTCCTCAAGAGCTTCGTTGATTACTTGAACAACAGCCCTGCAGCCCTGTTCACCGCTCGCATGTTCACCAACTTCAACTGGCTTGCGGACAACGACGGGAGCTTTGTGGCTGGCGATGGGCGCATTGCCTACGCCGGCTCCCATGCGATGCGCGGCTGAATTTACAGTCTTCGGAGTAGTGCGAGCATTGGTAAGTTGGTTCTTTGGCTAGTTCTGTATTCTGCTGTTTCTAACACTATCACGTAGCGCACTGACAGAGGGATCATGTTGGGTTGCCCCTCCTGGCACAGTGTTACATCTGTGCATCGGCTTACTCGGTCGGCCGACGCAAGGAAGCTCAGGAATTTTCCGAGACATCGGAAGGATCTCGGGTTATCCTCCCAAAGTTGGGTTCAACGCAAGGCTGGTCTGCTGAGCGTTGGCCGTTTACCTTGCCTCATGTTCGCCTCATGTTGTCTCAGCCCCTGGGCTTCTTTGATCCTTACAATACTAGACTTCCATAATTGGACTTTACCTTGTTGTCAAGTCTACATGCTCTCCATCCGATAACACTGGATATTTCCCACCACTATACTAGAATTACTATTTAATAGCCTTAGTGTGCATCCTGTTCTTCAGTTTAATAATTGAGTTGCATTGCCTGTCCCGCATTGCCTCTGGGTTCTCTCCGACTTCTCTTCCTCTCGCTCCTCTCCCGCTGTAGCGCGAGTAGTATGCTCACCCTCGTTCCTGTGGTGTTGTGTTACTCCGAGCCGTCAGTGCTCTTCCCGACCCGACGTTGCCCGACCCGATCTCGTTCCGATCTGCCATCACTGCTCGCTCGGCCCCTTGTTCACCTCCCCTCTGGACCTGGACATAACACACAGAGAAGGAGAGAATGGCAGCATATTGACCGTCCGGTTTCACGAGCAGCTTCTTGGACGATCGACCTCGCCCGACAGCTACCGCACCCTCCCGGGACGGCGGGGATCCTAGGAGATGCAGAAGTCGATGACTTCCTGACTTTGGTGGCACCCATTCTCGCGACACGGACGCACCGTGTGCAAACCCTGTACATAGTGGCCTTCTACAGCAGAGACTTGCGGAATCTCCTACGCGCACTCGGCCCTCTGAGCACTTCGGTGCTGAAGGGTCTTCACCTGGAGGTCATATGCCCACGGCTATTGGACGATGAGCTCCCACTGGAAGGCGAAGCGCTCCCAATATTTGAATCTGAATCATCCGTGGAGAAATTGGCCCTTGTCAACGTCCCTCTTCTTCGAGCCGGAGTCATGTTTGGCCGGGTTGTAAATCTGACATTGGACTGGTTCCCGGGTGATTCCTGGACAGTATTCTCAAGCAATTTGCGCGAAATGTCCGCGCTGGAGACGTTGACCTTGTGGGGCCCAGTGTGCAGCGACTACGACGGGGACAGCGTGGTCTGGCTGCCAGCTTTGAAGACCCTGGCCGTGAAGATCGCTGGGGCCTCAGACATGCCGAAAGCACTAGGAATGTTGCGTATGCCGGCTCTCGTGTGGTTGCATATAGGCCGGACGCAAGGACGTGTGGAACCAGTGGTGAACACCCTGGGCGATGCACTGGACGGTGTAACGCGGTTGGAATTGTATTCCAGGCCAATCCAGGGCGGACACAAGGATGATATCTCGATAGTATGGGAACGTGCACCGAAACTGAGTAATGATTTCTTTCCTGGATGCGTCCTCGTTGACTGACAGAGTTGTAGCAATCGTAGATTTCAATAAAAGTGGATATGCTCCGCTGAAGAAATTTACGTCCGCACTGCAAGACAACCGTGATCGATTCCCGTTCATGAATTCTATCTACACGGAGTTCACATTTCCGGACCGTGCGGTGGCGACGCTCCTACGGGGAACAGAGGTGACCATGACCACGCCTTCAACGGACACTGCTTTCACGGAGGATTGCTGGCGCATGCAAGGTGAAATGGCACAAAAGAGTAGATTTATTGTATGGAGGTTTGAGCGTTAGGAAATGTAGAGTACAAGATAATAGTCATTCCTCTTCGTCGGTCGTCACAGCAGTGGCCTCGTATTCTTCATCTTCATCGTCATATGCATCATTGGAGCCTCCAATATCATTCTCCGATTCGGTGTCGTCCTCGTCGTCATCTGGCACAATAAAGCCTCCCAAATCATCCTCTTTCTCGTCGCCGGTCTCTTCATCGTCGATTGCGGCGTCATCGTTGGCGTACAATGTTTCCCCGGAAAACACATCGGCTGGGTCCACCGGTGCCTCATCTGTTTCGGAGTTTGTGGGATGAGAGTCTGCAAAGTGTTTCCGAGTGTAAATCCCTGGAAAGAAATGATTAAAGGTAAATGAGTAGCAAGGAAATGGTCTTACTTTTGAGTGGCGGAGGGGAAACTGTATCTTCGTCGTCGGAAAACTCCAAGTGTTGCGCCCGTCCTGCTTGGATTAATATGTTGTGCGCTGGGTTCTAGTCTACTTGCTTACTCTTCCATGAAGATGCTACGATGGGCTCTGACTCTTTGTCTGACTGGACCGGGCTATCCATTGTGTGGTGTCCTTAGAGTAGACGGCACAAAATGGCGGGTAAAGGAGACAAAGTCTGGGCGCCGATCTCGATCAAGTTGGTACTAACTTAAATTAGGAGGCATATGTGGACTTATGTACCCGGGTCTGGAAAGAGGTACCAGGGATGCCCGGAGGGCCTTTATAATCTGTCCCCATACAACTCATACATTGCAATCCCTCTTAGCTCAGTTGGTTATAGTGTTAGCTTTGGATTTGTAACCCAAGTTGGCCTATGGTTTTGGGTTCGAATCCCATCCTTGGCATTTATTTAATTTATTTGCTCAACTAGGGCCCTGGCTAGAGTCGGGCAGGAAGATAAGGGAGATGTTGGTTACAGGCACGTATGAGAGGAGAGAAAACAAAAGGATATAAGAGAGATATGCGGCCCGGGAGTGCTGAAGAGGGAAGAAAATGCTGGCGATGAGAAGAGAGAAGAAAGCAAAGAGATATAGAGAGAAAAGGGTGTGCGGATGGAGTCGGGCCGCTTTGTAGCCGGTTCGCCAAACGGGGGGTGCGCCTACAAAAGGCGGTGTTTGTGAAACAGCGAGAAGTGCGCAACAGCTCCAGGACGCAGTGGATGAACAGGCCTCAGATGAGGAGACCAAAACAACCTGAACGAAGCAACACTCTAAGAGCCCAAGGCTCGCGTGAGGGATACTCAGGATGGAGGCCCAAAGAACCTAAATGAGTGGTGCGAAGTAATAAATTCGGTAAAGATATACAGCTAGTCGTCGTCAAAATTAAGCGTGGAAGTATCGTAAGCATGGCCATAGGTAGATGCACAGTCCCGGATGCGCGAGGTCCAAGCAGCGGTGATACACTGAGGAAGGATTTGCTCGAGTCAACACCAATAAATTAAAAAACAGAGCAAAGTCCAACCACCAAGCTTCATGATCACCTCGGGCTCGACCCCGGCGAGGAGGAGCTCCACGGAGCCGCCGATGCGGTAGCTGTGGCCGAAAACGTTCTCGAGGCCAGCGGCTCGGAAGAGAGGGGTTGTAGTCCGAAGGAATAGGTCCTTGATGAGCGGGCACCACAACTCTCTCTCACAAAACGCGAAGAGAGGCGTCAGCGGCGGCGGCGAGTTGTTGACGGCAAGGTGGTTGTGGAAAGCCCAGACTGGGCACAGATCCGCATTGATGCCGACCGTCTAGGTGAGGATGCAGTCGGCGCCGAGGATGGTCGTTGTCTTCGTCCAAATGATGTGAAAGCTGACGACGTCGTGCCCGCAAACACAGGTGAACGAAATGCGCGTGTCACGTGTCGTGTCGTGCTCAAGGGAGAACTTGTTTGCGCTGCTGATGACGAGCTCCCCGAGGTGCCTGCAACCCCAGAAGCACGAGGTGGCATTCGACCACGTCGCAGCGCCAAAGCCGGAAGAGAGGTCGAGGGATGTGCGAATGGCGTGCAGGTGCGCCTTAGTGATGGGGCTGCGAGGTGGGCGCTTGAAAGGAACACCAGCATGATCACCCGCCTTCTTCAAAGATGGCAACCAACAGTCATTGCCATGCCACTCGGCGTCGTTGGAAAAGATGCCACAGGTGCAGCCCGTTGAGCCAGTAGGCAGCGAGGAGGAAGCGATCAGCGGGCATGCGAGTGCCCTCGCCGACACTGAGACGGTCGCAAAATTGGTGGAAGGGCAGGAGCCCCGCTCCGTACAACTTCTGCGACTTCTCGGTCGTTGCGTGTAGCAAACCCTTATAGATGCGTGTTTGCAGGTCGACATGAATCCCGGATTCGGTGAGACGTTGGTGGACGGCGAATGAGAAAGGGGAAGTCCAGAGGAGGACGCACCTGTTATATCCGTGCGCCAAGGCTCCGATCTACGTCCATCACACTCCGGCACAACTTGCTCAACTCCGGTCCACTCCGGAGTTCGGAGACTACCGGAACTCCGGAGACCGCTGGAACACCGGAGACTACCGGAATATCGAAGACTAGATCGGCACGACTCCCGTGGTCATAGGACTTCAGTATCAATGGTAACGTTCACTCCACATGCATCTCCTTCTTCCCCAAGCTTCGAAGTTTATACATATCACCTCATGTTGATTATCCGAAGCATTCCTGATTTCATCCAACTTCTCATTCCGCTTTTGGATGTCTTATTGTTTCCTATTGTCTTCTCCACATGTACCTCCACATGCTTCCTCCTTATCTCCTTTACATTATATTAAGACTCTACACTATTTAATCCCGCTAGTTTACTTCTTGTTCTTCAGTAGTTTAATAAATGTCGCTTCCCTCCCTCCGAAGTGGTGCCTGTCGCTCCCCTCATCCCCCTGACTCCTCTAGACTCTGTCCTTCTTGTCTCGACGATTCCTGGCAGTATACGCTCACCCTGCGCCTCAGTGGTGTTGTGTCAATCAGCTCCGCCGGTCCTCCTTTCAGACTCCGGTATCTCGGAGACCGCTCCGAACCGCCGGTAATCTCGGAGTACTTCCCGCTCGTCCGGCCGACTGTCCCTCTACCCCGCTCCCGCGACACGGCTCATAACAGCACCGGTCTGCGGGAACAACTGGGCGGTAGATGCTAACAGTGATTTTGTTGCTGGTGCAGGGTTTGCAGGCTTGTTTCTGGGGAAGGGAGAAGGCGGCCGCGCGGCGTGGGTCCAGCTCGGCATCCAAAGGTCGAAGGGAAAGGGGTGGTGCAGGTGCACTTCATCCCAGAAGACATGGGTTAATACAAGGAGACGACATGGGCGCTGACAACGCATGAGAATATGTCCGACGTAGAGATAACCGCAGTGGGTAAGTGAGGAGACGAGGGCGAGATAAAAGAAGGAATATGTTGTAGGCGAGGCTCGATGGTTACTTTGTCCTCGAAAGAAGCGGTCAAAAGGCAGAAAAGGCGGGGCTTGGGCGGGTCAGGGATGCGCAAAACGGGCGAAGGCGAGGCGATGGGGTCTTCAAAACTTAGCGTCGAGAGGCAGAAGAGGCTGCAGGGGTTAGGTAGTGAGTGGGAAAGGAGGGACGGACTTACCGGCCTGACGAGATCACCAGTCACTGCGGACGAAAAGCTCGGCGAGGTCGGGTGGTAGGTTGAAACGGCGAGCGAGACGATGGTGAAGAGGGAGAGAGCAGGAGCCGCGAGAGGGGCCGTCGGCCGGTGTTATGTCCAGGTCCAGAGGGGAGGTGAACAAGGGGCCGAGCGAGCAGTGATGGCAGATCGGAATGAGATCGGGTCGGGCAACGTCGGGTCGGGAAGTTACCCGATTAGTCGGGAAGAGCACTGACGGCTCGGAGTAACACAACACCACAGGAGTAAGGGTGAGCGTACTACTCGTGCTACAGCAGGAGAGGAGCGAGAGGAAGAGAAGTCGGAGAGAACCCAGAGGCAATGCAACTCAATTGTTAAACTGAAGAACAGGATGTACTCTAAGGCTATTAAATAGTAGTTCTAGTATAGTGGTGGGAATTATCCAGTGTTATCAGATGGAGAGCATGTGGACTCAACAACAAGGTAAAGTCCATTTATGGAAGTCTAGTATTGTAAGTATCAAAGAAGCCCAGGGGCTGAGACAACATGAGGCGAACATGGGTAAACGGCCAATGCTCAGCAGACCAGCCTTGCGTTGAACCCAACTTCGGGAGGACAACCCGAGGACCTTCCGACGTCTCGGAAAGTTCCCGAGCTTCCTCGCGTCAGCCGACCAAGTAAGCTGATGCGCGGACGTAACAGCTGGGTTAAGCTTCGATTCCACGTAGGCTAATTTGGTGATGATCGAGTGATAGGAGGTCAGCGCAGAGGTTCAAGTGTTCGTTGGGGCTACGAGATTTCGAGAGGGCGCCGATGGCGGCCTTGTTGTCGGAGTGAACAAGAAGATGAACATCTTGATAACTGAGTTGTACGAGAAAATGAAAGAGAATCTCGAGCGCAATAGCCTTGAGCCAGCAGATATCTCGCCCTGGTTCCTTCCAGCCCTCCTTCAGCTTGAGGGAGTACCATTTGTGGCCGATTACGAAGGCCAAACCCCAAGATGTAGATGAGTCAACGAAAATGCGGTCGTCCCGAAGAGGGCCGATGCAGCGTAATTGGCTGTTACATCCGTGCGCCAAGGCTCCGATTCACGTCTATCGCACTCCGGTAAAGCTTGCTCGACTCCGGTCCACTCCGGAGTCTGGAGACTACCGGAACTCCGGAGACCGCCAGAACACCCGAGACTACCGGAACATCGGAGACTTGATTGGCACGACTCCCGCAGTCACAGGACTTCAGTATCAATGGTAACATTCATTCTACATGCATCTCCTTCTTCCCCAAACTTCGAAGTTTAAGCATATCACCTCATGTTGATTATCCGAAGCATTCCTGATTTCATCCAACTTCTCATTCCGCTTTTGGACGTCTTATTGTTTCCTATTGTCTTCTCCACATGTACCTCCACATGCTTCCTCCTTATCTCCTTTACATTAAATTAAGACTCTACACTATTTAATCTCCCTAGTTTACTTCCTGTTCTTTAGTAGTTTAATAAATGTCGCTTCCCTCCCTTCGAAGTGGTGTCTGTCGCTCCCTTCACCTCCCTGACTCCTCTAGACTCTGTCCCTCTTGTCTCGACGATTCCTGGCAGTATACGCTCACCCTGCGCCTCAGTGGTGTTGTGTCAATCAGCTCCGTCGGTCCTCTTTTCCGACTCCGGTATCTCGGAGACCGCTCCGAGCCGCCGGTGGTTTCGGAGTACTTCCCGCTCCCACGACACGGCTCATAACATTGGCAGAAGACGTCACGGTCCTCAAGTTGGTGCCGCCACCAGCGCAGCGTGTGGGTGGCCGAGTTGGAGAGGCGGCGCAGCACAGACTCGTCAACTTTGTAGTGGGCCATAAGGTTTGAGAAAACAGGAAGGCAGGTCGAGCTGGCACGATGGATAAATGATACGTGAACGAGCGTGCCGTTGTGATGTGGACTGCGGTTCTTGTACTAGAATCTGGCCATGGAATTACAGTCAAACTGCAATACAAATGGTGTACATCCTCTAGAGGGAACTAAGAGGGCTAGAAACGCTCTTTACTTCTATGCAATGATAATTTTAAATGGTGGTGGTGGTGTATACAGATTTCTCTTCTGCGAGTAGCAGATTTAGAGAAGGCGCTAGGTTCCTCGAGAGTTTGGTCTCTCGTTGGGGCTAGCCTTCCGAGAAAGATGTGATGGGAGATTCTTCTACACTTGCGCAAAGGATTGGCACTCTGCAATGTGAAGTACGCTCCTACTCGGTAAACCCAGGTAATGTGGTGTTTTCGTATCTCCTTGCTTTGTATAGGGC